CTCCGCGCGGAGGAGCCGAAGGGCAGCAGGATAGGGACGGGGACAACAAACGGAAGCAGACAGGCATCAGAGCCTGCCTGCTTTCCCCATCCCTCCGCTTGGTTGGGTTCTCGCTTCGAATACAGCAATGCAGTCTCCTCTCTTCTTTTCCTCCTGCTCGTGCCTCCTTGCCTCCCTTGCCCGTACCTCTGCTAGTGGGGGGCCGTGAACTGCGCAGCTGCCGCCACTTTCGTGGGCTCGTCGGAGGCACGGCGGAGTAGGGGAGTACGCACATCCCGCCGAGACCTCGCAGCTCCCTGGGGGGCTGCAAATTGCGCAACTGTCACCACCTTCGTAGGCTCCTGGGAGGCCCAGCGGAGTGGGGGAGTACGCACATCCAGCTGAGACTTCGCAGCTCCCTGGGAGGCTGCGAACTGGCAACTGTCGCCAGTTTCGTGAAAACCTTGGAGGCCACGCAGAAGGGGGAGTACGCACATCCCGCCAACCCTCGCAAATCCCTGGGGGGCTGCGAACACTGCGCAACTGTCGCCACCTGCGTAGGCTCCCGGGAGGCTCCGCGGAGTCGGGAAAAACGCACATCCAGCCGAAACTTCGCAGCTCCCTGGGAGGCTGCGAACTGCGTAACCGTCGCCACTTTCGTGGGCTCCTGGGAGGCCCAGCGGAGTAGGGGAGTGCTAGCACGCGGTCGAGACCTCGCAGCTCCCTGGGGGGCTGCGAAATTGCGCAACTGTCGCCGCCTTCGTAGGCTCCTGGGAGGCCCAGCGGAGTGGGGGAGTACGCACATCCAGCTGAGACTTCGCAGCTCCCTGGGAGGCTGCGAACTAGCAACTGTCGCCAGTTTCGTGAAAACCTCGGAGGCCACGCCGAAGGGGGAATACGCACATCCCGCCAACCCTCGCAGATCCCTGGGGGTCCTGGGAGGCTCCGCGGAGTCGGGAAAAACGCACATCCAGCCGAAACTTCGCAGCTCCCTGGGAGGCTGCGAACTGCGTAACCGTCGCCACTTTCGTGGGCTCCTGGGAGGCCCAGCGGAGTAGGGGAGTGCTAGCACGCGGTCGAGACCTCGCAGCTCCCTGGGGGGCTGCGAACTGCGCAGATGTCGCCACTTTCGTGGGCTCCTGGGAGGCCCCACGGAGTGGGGGAGTACGCACATCCAGTTGAGACTTCGCAGCTCCCTGGGAGGCTCTAAACTGGCAACTGTCGTCACTTTCGTTGACGCCTGAGAGAACACTGCGCAGGTGTCGCCATTTTCGTGGGCTCCTGGGAGGTCCAGCGGAGTACGGGAGTACCAACGTCCAGCCGAGACCTCGCAGCTCCCCAGGTGGGCTGCGAACCGCGCAACGGTCGCCACTTTCGTGAGCTCCTGGGAGTGCCCAGCGGAGTGGGGGAGTACGCACATCCAGCTGAGACCTCGCGGCTCCCTGGGGGAGTGCTCAAGCGTTTTCTGACTCAAGCCACGAAACGGCCCAAGGAGGGCCTGGGAGACGCCCATGGCCTGCCGCCGCCGCCGCTGAGAGGCGCCGCGCCCGATGCGGTGCCGCCTATGCCTGGCCCACGCGGTGGAGGGCCAAGCCGAGCCAGGCAGGGACGTCTGCCGCGAGCACCGGGCGCAGCAGGCCCTCCAGCCTGCCGCAGACGCTGACGCGAGTCCAGCGGCTGTTGCGCCGCCAGGCCAGGCCGCGCCCAAGCAGAGTGCGAGACCCAAGCTGGGGGGGGAGGACGTGGGGCGCTGCAAGGAGCCCCAGGGGATGTGCCGGCCGGGTTCGGCCCTCAACGAGGGCCACGACCGGCGCGTGGGGAGCCTTACGGAGACGCAGGCCCAGTGCAGGTGCGGAACACCTTCATCAATGTCGCCGACCATCGGCGCCCGCGGAGGCAGCTGCGGCGCAACCTGACTGACGGTGACGAGCCCCGCGACGCGGAGGATGTAGACATTGGAGGCGATGGCGATGGCGATGGTGCTGGAGCCGATGCCGCAGGGCTCGACCTGCGCCTCGACGAGTTGCGCCTCGACCCCAACGCCCTCATGGAACAGGACGCGGGGGTCCCGCTCCCAGAGGTGCGGCGAATGCGGGCGCGCACTGGCGATTCGCCACCGCCGCGGCCGCCAGCAGCCAGCGCCGCGGCGGAGCCAGGCGAGGCGCCCGTGCCAGCTCCAGGTGCGAGCGCTGCTGGTCCGGCTGGCGCGCCCCTGGGACCTGGCGCGGCGGCCGCCGCCGGGATGGGCGACCATGAGGAGGAGGAGGAGGAGGAGGAGGAGGAGGAGGAGGAGGAGGAGGAGGAGGAGGAGGAGGAGGAGAAGGAGAAGGAGGAGGAGAAGGAGGAGGATAAGGAGGAGGAGGAGGAGGAGGAGGAGGAGGAGGAGGAGAGGAGGAGGAGGGAGGAGGAGGAGGAGGAGGAGGAGGAGAAGGAGAAGGAGGAGGAGAAGGAGGAGGATAAGGAGGAGGAGGAGGAGGAGGAGGAGGAGGAGGAGGAGGAGGAGGAGGAGGGGCCGGTGGCCCGCTGCGCACGCCCATGGCGCCCCCTGCGGCGCCTGACGCAGAGGAGCCGCCGCCAGGGCCTTTCGCCGAGGGCGATCGCGCCTGCCCCTGGTGCGCCGAATTGCGCGCTTCAACTCCGCCTCGGGCTTCATGAGGCACGTTGCGACCTGCCATGAGGGCACCGCGATCGTCGACCAGCCGATGATCACGGTCTTGCGCGGCCTCGAGCGGGCGGTATGCGTCGGCCCCGGTTGCGGATGCTTGCGCCGCATTGGCACTCGGCGGTGTTCACCGATGTGGAGGCTCTCATGCCTTGCGGCCTCTGGTAAGCGGAGACAGAGTCCCAGGAGGGCGGGGCGTGCCACTCAGAGCCGCGGAGGCCGCCGTGCAGTCTCCTCCATCGGCCGAGCCCAATGCCGAGAGCATCGGCGATGTACTCCTGCCAGAGGGCTTCACCGCACGCGTCAGGCGGCTACCGCCGTCCACCTTGGTGCACTTCCCAGTCGCGTGCCGAGAGCGTGCCGCCGCCCTCACAGAGGAACGCTGGACGGGCATGGCGGCGGGCAAGCCTGGCTGGTCCGCCCTGGAAGGGGGTCGGTCCAAAATCCTCCTGGCTGCAATCCCCCGGGGCATGCACGTCCATGGGGAGGTCGCCCATCGTATCGAGCTGTTTCGGACACGTGCCTTCGGCGACTTGCTCATCCGGCGTCGAGATGCAGCTCGCGAGCGCACGTGGAGCTGGTCGCCGCCGGAGGCGGGGTCCGCCTGGTGAGGAGGTCTCAGACAGGAGAAAAGCACAGGCCACCAGGCAGGCAGCTGAGGGCGCCTATCGGAAGGCGGTCGGCACCATGACCAGCAACGCTGCCAACCGGAGCGCAGGCAGCAGCATGCATTGGGCGCGCGAGCTGCACCCGCCTGCGCGGGACCCGACCTCCGCGCTGGCCGCCCCCAGCCCTCAGGGCGGTGGTCATGCGCCTCAGGCGGAGCCCGACGGCGAGCACGTCGATCCACTACGGGGCGTTCGTCTCGCTGCATGGAAGGCCCCGGGTCCGTCTGGCCGACGACCAGAGCACAGTGCCGAGCTTCTCGGCGTACGGAGGCGGCGGTTGGCCAAGAAGCTGGTCCGCGCGCTCGGCCGCCTGCTCGGCGCCATCGCGGGCGGGCGCATGTGCGAAGAGGCGCGCTGGAGCACCCGATCCCGTTCCGTCCTCATCGGGAAAGAGGCGCCGCGAGGCCAGGCCCAGCCGCCAGGGCCTCACGGGCACACGCCGCGCCCCTTGGAGAGTGAGGCCTGGCGCGCTGCTGCTGCGAAGCGCACGCTGCGGGGGGGTGCGAACGCCGCCTCCGGCCTAAGCTCCTCAGGATGCGGCAATGGGGGGTGGCCATGCCAGGTGGAGCTGAGGCGCTATGCCTCTGGCGCTCCACGGTGGAGGAAGCCGCTCGGTTGGGCATCATCGCGCCCACCGTGGCGGCGGACCTCGACGTGGAGAAGTTCTTCAGCAGCGCCGAGTGGCCGACGATCCGGGAACCGATGGCCCGACACTTCCAGGAGAGGCGGAGGCAGCGGTCCGTTGGGAGCAGCAGCAGGCAGGCCGGCACTCCTGTTCTGCCAGACGGCGCGGAGTTCACGCTCCACCGGGGCGCGGAGCAGGGTGAGCCCCATGGGGCCCGTGAAGGCGGCGCTCCCGCTGGGCGCCGCGGGGTGCCGCGCGGCCGAGGCGCTCGCAGCCGCGCTCTTAGGGCCGCGGGGTGTGCGGCGAGTGGCCCCGTGGACGATGGGCAGCTGGTCTGCCATCCGCGCTCGCTCGATCCGCGGCTCCGCCTCTGCGGCGAGAAGATCGCCCGCCTCGGGGCGCCTCGGGGGCGCGGGGAGGACGTGGAGAGCGTGCGTCGTCTCGTCTGGCCCCCCGGGCCAGGAGGGGGCGACGCAAGGCCGGGCGACGGGCCGCGTCGGGAGCGCGCGTGCCGCGCGCCAGAGATCGTGGTGGCGAGCCTCCGCAGGAGTGGCGCACGGCGGCCTGGGCTTCCGGGACGGCGCGAGAGGTCGCGTCGGCCGCGCGGCGGCACGCCCGCTGGTGAGAGTGCGCGGGCGAGATCCGGGAGCACCCGTGCGGGACGGGGCGCAGAGCGCCGCCGATCGACGTGGCAGCGATGGCACCCCGAGGTCCGAGGTCGTGATGTTTCCAATACGGGGCCCCCGGACGTCTCGACCCCTTCCCTGACTCCAAATCCGCCCTACTTTGGGTTTTTTTTCCAACTTAAAATTGCGCCGGAAATCCACCTATAAGAGGCCGAAAAAGTAGGGCGGAAATTTCTGCACCCAACATAAAGTAGGGCGGACATCCACAGAAGTAGGGCGGAAACAGCAGCAGAAAAGCAGGGCGGAAAGTGGCACCAGCGGGGCTTGAAAAGTAAGGCGGAAATTCCAAGCCCCACTTACGAATTTCCCCAAAGTAGGGCGGATCCGGAGTCAGGGATTCCCCAGGACCGGCCTTTCATCCCGAGTCGTCTCTTGACGGT